CGCCACCTCCACCACCGCCACCTCCACCACCGCCACCTCCACCACCGCCACCTCCACTACCGCCACCTCCACCACCGCCACCACTACCACCGCCGCCACCGCCACCTCCGCCACCGCCACCTCCACCACTGCCACCGCCGCCACCGCCACCACCATCACCGCCACCTCCACCACCACCACCTCCACCACCGCCACCTCCAGCATCGCGACCACTGTCACCACCGCCACCTCCAGCATCGCGACCACTGTCACCACCGCCACCGCCACCTCCAGCACCGCCACCACTGCCACCTCCACCACCGCCACCACCACTGCCACATCCAGCACCGCCACCACTGCCACCGCACCACCACCTCCACCACCGCCACCTCCACCACCGTCACCACTGCCACCGCCTCCACCACCTCCACCACCTCCACCACCGCCTCCACCTCCACCGCCTCCACCACCGCCGCCACCTCCACCACCTCCACCACCGCCTCCACCACCGCCACCTCCACCACCACCTCCACCACCGCCACCTCCACCACCACCTCCACCGCCGCCACCTCCACCACCGCCACTTCCACCACCGCCACCACTACCACCACCACCGCCACCTCCACCTCCACCACTGCCACCGCCGCCACCGCCACCACCATCACCGCCACCTCCACCACCGCCACCGCCACCACCATCACCGCCACCACCATCACCGCCACCTCCAGCACCGCCACCACTGCCACCGCCACCACCGCCACCTCCAGCACCGCCACCTCCAGCACCGCCACCTAAAGCACCGCCACCTAAAGCACCGCCACCACTGCCACCTCCACCACCGCCACCTCCACCACTGCCACCTCCAGCACCGCCACCACTGCCACCGTCACCACCGCCGCCACCACCATCACCGCCACCTCCGCCACCGTCACCACTGCCACCGCCGCCACCTCCACCACCGCCACCACCACCACCATCACCATCACCATCACCACCACCACTGCCACCACCGCCACTACCACCCCCCCACCGCCACCACCAGCACCATCACCACCACCATCACTAACCAAAATTTACGTCTCAATAACAAAAATTTACATCTCGATAACCAAAATTTATATCTTAATAACCAAAATTTGCATATCAATAACCAAAATTTACATATCTATAACCAAAATTTACATATCAATAACCAAAATTTACATATCTATAACCAAAATTTACATATCAATGACCAAAATTTATATCTTAATAACCAAAATTTCCATCTGGATAACCAAAAATTACAACATGATTTTAGAAAGTCCTACTTACCTTCAGTATACACATACTTTTACTTTCGTGTACTCTTCTGTCTAGATCTTAACCCTGTAATATTTCCTATGCGACCTAGAAGGCCTCTGGCTTGTGACACTGGGAAGGTAATCCCCAGAACCATTAACTGATTAAATTTGTATTTTACCGCCGAAGCGGGCCAGGTCAACTAGGCTGTGATGAATACGTGGGGCAGCGGGCCACCACAGCAAGAGCCTGGTTGACCAGGCTAGCACCAGACCAGCCTGGCCCTTGGCCGGGCTCCGGGAATACAAAGACTCGAAACTCATCAAAGGTATATCAAAGGTAAAGCTAGTGTATTGTGCATCCTATCTCCATCCTGTGGAGGATAGCGCAAGAACATATGGATATACAAAACGCCTAGGAACTAGGCCAGACAAGGGTTAACTGGAGTACATCTGGATTTATACCTTCAATTATTGCAGGTATATTTAAGATATTTGCTTAATATCTCTGGTATCTTATATTCATTAATAAGATACCTTGACTTATCAGATAGGTTATTATACTATCTCTAACAGATAAAACAAAATTAGTCTGTTAGGTTTAAAGTGTGGCTGCCACACGAGGGTCATTAAGGCTGAGCCTCACCTGTGTACACTGGTCAAGGATACTTGAATCACTTTTATAGACATTTAAGTACTCTTTCAGTATATGTACTCTGAAAGTCCTTCAGCGGCATCATAGCCCCCCCCACTCAGTTGAGAGAGAGAGAGACAGAGAGAGAGAGAGAGAGAGAGAGAGAGACAGACAGACAGACAGACAGACAGACAGACAGACAGACAGACAGACTTTAATAAAATGGAAGTAAAATGTTGATATGTGAAATTGAAGAAAACTCAAAATGTTTGCACGCAAAGTATTATTATTTTTATTATTATTATTATTACATTTGTTATTATTACTGGTTATAACAGCTTCTAAATAAACTCGAAATAACAGTTTCTGTATAAAATTGAAATAACAGCTTTTGTATAAAACGGAAAGGCAAACTTTTTCTCTATTATTGATCAATTATTTACGCAGGTGGGACCTTCACTGCTGACAACACAGAAATAATTGAAATTGTCAGCATAGTGATGTCTCATGTTCACTGAGTTGAAACATACGCTGAACACTGAACAATCCTCACGAATTGTTCATTTGACACGTATATACTCTGAGAGTTGTATGTAGATGTATATACACCGAGAACAAATTTAGTTCCTTGGTACTGTTCTTGACTGGTTTGTGTCACGTGTTATATGAAGCCTTAACGATAATTACTCTGCATTTAATTTGCGTTACATGAGTCTTTTATCACAGTTCTGTACATGTATATATTGCAAAAATGGTTGTCTAGGGCAATTGGTGTAAATTGCTGGCTAGACAGATACTGAAAGGAACTTGCAATCCCATTCATTGACAACTGGAACAACTTTTATGGCAAACATGATATGTATGCAAGGGATGGGGTTCATCTCTCTGGGGCAGGGGTGGTAGCACTTGCAGACTCGATTGAGAAGGCCATTGGTGAAATGCCTATGATTTTAAACTGATGGAAGATAGAGGTATGGGTGTGTGTGGGAAACAAGCAGGTTGCAACACTAGGGTTGGAAACAGTAAATGTATAAAAGGCATTCAGCATGAAAGTTATAAATAAAGACAATAGAACAGGTCAGCAAACAAAGGGGGACAGCAGAGGGCAGCAAGGGACTAGCTCCCTTAAGGTTTACTATACTAATAGCAGGAGTGTTAGAAATAAGATAGATGAGCTAAGATTAATTGCAAGTGCAGGAAACATAGATATTATTGCTATAACAGAGACCTGGCTCAATCTGAAAGATAGAGAGATGCCCTCTGAATGTCACATACAAGGCTATAAATTATTCCACACTGACAGGGTCAACAGGAAAGGTGGTGGAGTAGCGATGTATGTCAGAGACAATTTAAATTGTTGTGTTAGACAAGATATTAAATTAGAAGCGTCAGCCACTGAATCTGTTTGGTTACAGCTTCTCGAGGGCCGAGAAAAACTAATTTTGGGTGTGATTTACAGGGCCCCAAATCTTGATAGGGAGTGCAGTAAACTTCTATGGGACGAAATTCGTAAGGCATCTACATACGAAAATGTTGTGCTAATGGGAGATTTCAACTATAGACAGATTGACTGGAGCAATTTGACAGGAAATTTAGAGTCGGGTGACTTTCTTGATACGATCCAGGATTGTTTTTTAAAAACAGTTTGTGACAGAGCCAACTAGGGGAAATAACCTCCTTGACTTGGTTCTTGCCAGTAGGGAAACACTAATTAATAATCTTGAGGTTAATGATGAGCTTGGGGAGAGTGATCACAAATCACTCAGTTTTAACATATCATGGAATTCCCCTAATAATGGCAATCAAGTCTCCGTCCCTGACTTTCGCTTGGCTGATTTCATAGGACTGAAAAATTACTTAGGTGGGCTGAACTGGAATGACCTGACTAGGGGTCAGGTAGGTGGTGATGGTTGCCGATATGATGCTTTCCAGGGCATAGTTCTAGCTGCTCAGTCAAATTATGTTCCAAATAGGGAAATCAGATCAAACAAAAATGATCCTAAATGGATGAACAATAGATTAAAATATCTGATTGGTCAAAAGAGAGGCATATATAGGCAAATCAAAAGAGGAGAGGGGCAATTAAGAAATCGATATATTCAGTTAAAGAGAGAAATAAAAAAGGGAATTAGAAAAGCAAATAGAGATTATGAGGTTAAAGTTGCAAGAGAATCGAAGACTAACCCAAAAGGATTCTTTCAGGTATACAGAAGTAAGATCAGGGACAAGATAGGCCCACTCAAAAGTTCCTCGGGTCAGCTCACTGACAGTGATAAGGAAATGTGTAGAATTTTTAACACATACTTCCTCTCAGTTTTTACACAGGAGGATACCAGCGATATTCCGTAATGATAAATTATGTAGAACAGGACGATAATAAACTGTGCACTATTTAGGGTCACAAGTGACATGGTCCTTATGGCAATAGATAAATTAAAACCTAACAAATCCCAGGCCCTGATGAACTGTATGCAAGGGTTCTAAAGGAATGTAAAGAGGAGCTTAGCACACCTTTGGCTAATCTTTTCAACATATCACTACAAACTGGCATGGTGCCAGATAAGTGGAAAATGGCAAATGTGATACCTATTTTCAAAACAGGTGACAGGTCCTTAGCTTCGAACTATAGACCAATAAGCCTAACCTCCATAGTGGGGAAAATTTATGGAATCAATAATTCCCGAGGCAGTTCGTAGCCACCTTGAAAAGCATAAATTAATCAACGAATCTCAGCATGGTTTTACAAAGGGCGTTCCTGCCTTACGAATTTATTAACTTTTTTCACTAAGGTATTTGAGGAGGTAGATCATGGTAATGAATATGATATTGTGTATATGGACTTCAGTAAGGCTTTTGACAGGGTCCCACATCAGAGACTATTGAGGAAAATTAAAGCACAAAGGAATAGGAGGAGAAATTTTTTCATGGATAGAGGCATGGTTGACAATAGGCAGCAGAGAGTTTGCATAAATGGGGAGAAATCAGAGTGGGGAAGCGTCACGAGCGGTGTTCCACAGGGGTCAGTGTTGGGCCCCCTGCTGTTCACAATCTAATAAACGACATAGATGAGGGCATAAAGAGCGACATCGGCAAGTTTGCCGATGACACCAAAATAGGCCGTCGAATTCATTCTGACGAGGACATTCGAGCACTCCAGGAAGATTTGAATAGACTGATGCAGTGGTCGGAGAAGTGGCAGATGCAGTTTAATATAGACAAATGCAAAGTTCTAAATGTTGGACAGGACAATAACCATGCCACATATAAACTAAATAATGTAGATCTTAATATACGGATTGCGAAAAAGATTTAGGAGTTCTGGTTAGCAGTAATCTGAAACCAAGACAACAGTGCATAAGTGTTCGCAATAAAGCTAATAGAATCCTTGGCTTCATATCAAGAAGCATAAATAATAGGAGTCCTCAGGTTGTTCTTCAACTCTATACATCCTTGGTTAGGCCTCATTTAGATTATGCTGCACAGTTTTGGTCACCGTATTACAGAATGGATATAAATTCTCTGGAAAATGTACAAAGGAGGATGACAAAGATGATCCCATGTATCAGAAACCTTCCCTATGAGGATAGACTAAGGGCCCTGAAACTGCACTCTCTAGAAAGACGTAGAATTAGGGGGATATGATTGAGGTTTATAAGTGGAAGACAGGAATAAATAAAGGGGATGTAAATAGTGTGCTGAAAATATCTAGCCTAGACAGGACTCGCAGCAATGGTTTTAAGTTGGAAAAATTCAGATTCAGGAGGGATATAGGAAAGTACTGGTTTGGTAATAGAGTTGTGGATGAGTGGAACAAACTCCCAAGTACAGTTATAGAGGCCAGAACGTTGTGTAGCTTTAAAAATAGGTTGGATAAATACATGAGTAGATGTGGGTGGGTGTGAGTTGGACCTGATAGCTTGTGCTAACAGGTCGGTTGCCGTGTTCCTCCCTTAAGTCAATGTGACCTGACCTGACTAGGTTGGGTGCATTGGCTTAAGCCGGTAGGGACTTGGACCTGCCTCGCATGGGCCAGTAGGCCTTCTGCAGTGTTCCTTCGTTCTTATGTTCTTATGTTCTTAATTGTGATTTTCTTGCCATTCATTGTTTTTCATAATATTTTATTTGATGACCTCTCGTGATGCCGATAGGCTTCAAACCAACCCATCAAATGAAGCGACGAACATTTTCAGTGCAGCCATAAGGTATATATACATCTAGAAGTATATGTCTTTCAGCGTATATATGCTGAGAGTTTACTTTAATCCCTATTTAAGGGATTAAAGTATTCTTGTCTGATAGTGAAAAGGTTACATGCAGCTTGAATAACCCTCGTGTAGTTAATAGGCTTTAAACTCCATTAGCCAACCAGTTCAGCCAGAGTCAGGCAGTGTGTGTGTGGCTGTCCAGTGACTGAGTGTGCTAGTGTCACCCTGTGTACGAGGTGTGTTACTCATGGTATTGAAGAATACTCGAAGGTACATAGCAAGCTTTTAAGGGGCACAGGATATATACACCGAGAGGTGTATTTCTTTTAACGTATGTACAGGCATGCTGAGAATTTAATTCCTGTTTTAGGAATTAAAATATTCTTGTCTGGTGGTGGAAAGGTTACGTGCAGCTTTTATGACCCTAGTGTAGTCGATATACTTTAAACTATATTAACCAAATACTCCTTGTGTAGAGCTTTATCATGTCTTGACCAAGCTTTACAATGCAACGCATGTCGATGTAAGGTTCATCTTCACACATGTCTTAACTTCAATGGTTCCAACATGTATATTTTTTCCGCTACTATTTTAAGAGGAACCTACAAAAATATCTATGGGTAAATATCCATTCTTGTGAAATTTTGAAAGTGCCGAAGCCTAGATGACGGAAAAAAATCGAGTGGTGAGTATAGAAACTAGTGAACGACGAGTGTTTACCACAAATGGGAGAATGATACTTTAAAACGACGTTTCGGTCCGGTACAAGTTTCATGCATGTGTATCACTGTTGGGGTAACATCGCGTTGATGGCCTTAATTTCAAGCTTAACGATAATCTATTATGTAAATTCCAAAATATCAAGTGGATTGTGTAACGGAGTCTTATATTTTGTGCCAAAGGGGGAAAACCCGTCCACTGGTAGGCAAAAACAACAACCAAAAAAACTATGTATGTCACCACATCATTTTCATAAATAACTGCTTCACAAACAAAGCATTTCTGTCATCCATTGTAGATGAGAACATCATTAGCTGGTCAAAGTATATGTACCACAGAAAATTAATATTACTACACTAAATAGAACTCTAAAGCATTTTCATACGATTTAATACATTAAAAGTAAAACTATTAACACGATAAATTTGTTCAAAATGATTTTTTTTTATATTTTGAAAAGCTTGTTATGCAGCAATATTTTATATCTCGCTGGAAAGGTAATTTCAATCAGACTTTTATAATGGGCCGAAATTCACGTGAAAGCCGTTCTCAGGGAGGAGGGCCACCCTCCCCACAGGTTGCTTTTTAGACTATAAGAACACAACAGCTGTTTTGCCATGAATGGTCACCATAGTTCACCTGTCATCTAAACTGGCTGGCATTTACGGCCGACGACATGGAACATATTATGAATATGGATTGTGAGATGCGAAAATTATGACTCGTTTTACTTGCCTTGTGTTTATGATTTATACAATAAAAGTGAATTGTTGATGGCAGCAGCAGGTTGATAATGACAGTGTAAATATGATAATGTTTGAAAGTGAATATTTAGAGTGCTGGATAACAAGACGTTTTTAGTGCCTAGCCTCTGGTTGGGCTGCAAGGATGGGGAAACTCCTCTAAACCGGTCACAGGTATATCACACCTATGTGCATTTTTTTTTTTTGCTTCATCACCCGTCTCACTCCAAGGTAGAGTGACCCGAAAAAAAAAGAAATGCTTTCACTCTCATTTATTCAATCACTGTCCTGCCAGAAACTTGCTGATATCACAGCTCAGATAACCTTTCGAACTGCATCATCTTTCCTTGAGAGTGCAGGCAGGCACTGTGCTTCCCGTCTTCAGGCAGGCATTGTATATATACTTTACACTTCCAGGACTAGTCTGGCTAACCTGTTTCCTCTGAATCCCTTAATAAATGTAGTCCTACTCCACCAACACGTCAGATTATAAGAGCTTGCCACTGCTCCTATCTAAGATACGTGCACTACCGGTTGGATGTCCAAGCCACTGATACTCAAAACCACCTTTACGCTTTACTTCCAGCCCTTCCTGGGACGACCCCGGCTCTTCCTTCCTTTACCCCGGATGACTATTGTATATAAATATATATCAATGTACCATGCAAAAACAAGCGGAGGTATACACAAGAGAAAGATGGCAGGATTCGAAATCACGCCAGGGAAGTGTCAAGGGTCCTTAGTGACGCTCTAGACCGCTCGGCCACAGATGCCTCAAAAGCTAGGTTAGGAGTGGTCTACAGCATCACTTAGGGAACCTTGCCACTCCCCTGATGTGATTTCGAATTCTGCTGACTGCGATCTTTCTCTGTATATACCTCCGCATGGTGCATTGATATAAAAATCGCTTTTGTGGTCAACATACAGGAGAATGAAACCATGCTTGAGGCCCATTGGTGTTCCCGGGCTGGGAAGAAACGTGGCTTGTAAACAGGCTGCCTAGCTTGGAGTTTCACTATTTTTTTCACTGTGGTTATTTTGCATATTGTGATTTCACTTGTTTACCGTGATTTTACTGTGTGTGTGTGTGTGTGTGTGTGTGTGTGTGTGTGTGTGTGTGTGTGTGTGTGTGTGTGTGTGTGTGTGTGTGTGTGTGTGTATGTGTGTGTATATATATATATATATATATATATATATATATATATATATATATATATATATATATATATATATATATATACACATACACGTTGTGCCGAATAGGGAAAACTTGTGATTTTGGCTTAAATAACAACGTTCTTCTTGTCGAATAAGGCAAGCGAAAATTTGTGTATGCAATAATTTCGCAAAAATCATTTTGAACGTAACGAAAAAAATTTCATTTTTTTATTAAGTTACTGTAAACTTGTATAAAATGTAATTAGTTGGGTTAGGCTAAATTAAACTGCGCTTTTTATAATAAGGTTAGGTGAGTTTTCTAAGGTTCTTTTGGTACAAAATTATCATTTTTTACATTAACATAAATGTGAAAAAATACATTTTTAAACGTATAAGAGAACATTTTAGAAAGGACTTAATTTTAAATGTGTTTTTGTTAACCAGTTTTACTTATTCGGCACGACATTTTATATATGTATGTATGTGTGTGTAATATATATATATATATATATATATATATATATATATATATATATATATATATATATTATAAATTTATGTATCTCAATATTAATTATAAGAACACATCTTCAGTTTGTTAAAATATTTTTTTCCCTTTTTCAGGTGAGAGGACGAGTGGTTGAAGCATCAAGTCAGGTCGTCAACAAAGGTAGTTAAGCCGTCAGTTATGTACCTGTTACAGCAACCATTGTCACCCTATGTATATGTCATTGGTTGGTACATGTTGCCTCCTATTCCCCATGTGTTGCATAACCCCCTATGGGCTTAGCGCTTCCCTCCTGATTATAATAATACTGTATAATGAAATAATCGTGAGTACTGGAACCCATACGTGGTACTAAGATAATTGAGGTGGTGGAAAAGTCATCATGTATGAGGGGCACATCAAGCGAGGAGAGGGATGAGCCAACGAGGCTGGATCTAGTATTCACCATTAAGTAGACAAAATAAAATGAAGAGATCTCTGGTGCTAGTTCTGAGTTTCTAATACCCTGTGGAAGTAAGAATCGTAAAAATAACAGGGCGGAGAAGAATGGGTAAAAACAAATTTCAGAAGGGGAAACTATAGCAGAATAAAAGAATTCTTGAATGTAATAAAATGAGAAAGGTACCTGGAAGAAGTCTCTGAATGAGATGACAATACCTAGCTGGAGTGTGTTGGCAGGTGGAAGACTTGATACCCAGGAGGAACAATGGTACATGGGTGGGTGGAGGAAGAGCCGGTAGATCAACCAAATAGCTAATAGAAGGGAGGAACGTTCTAGAGCATGGTAAACTATTTAAATTAATTCACAATTTATTTACACGAAGACTGGTTTGCTGTTGAGAGGTTGTGGGCTCGTTACAACCCAGGATGATTCTTCTTACTCAGTTTCAGTGCTGGTGCATCTCATGTACTGTTCAGTAGGTGGGAAGATTGGGGAAGGGAGGTCTTATCTGTGAACTTCCAGGGTTGTAAATATACTCATTCCTACGGGTTTAGTGCTCTCCATATAAAAATGTTAGAATGCAGTTTTTTTGGTCTTCTGTAATAATAAAATGTCTTTATTTCTACAAGTACATGATATAACTTGACTTGAACTACCTGACATCACTGACATACTATATAGAAAGCCCCTGGTTATGCAGAGCATTTCGGGAAACTTAGGTTAATCTTGTCCCCCAGGATGCGACCCACACCAGTCGACTAATACCCAGGTACTTATTTGCCGCTACGTGAGCAGGGACATCAGGAAACACGCCCTAATGCTTCCACCAGTACCTGGAATCGAACCATGGACATTGTGTGTGAGCGACGGTGAATCAAGTTGGTGCACTTGTATATATATCTTCGTGAGATATTTCTTAAGTTTTTGTGAGAATATTAGTACGGACTGAGGACCAGGGAATGTGTAGCAATGATCTACATATTCTTATATAATGGTCTAGGACCGGGGCAAAATAAATATTAAATATGGTTTTAAATTTCTATATTTAGGAAGATTAAAGATAAAATTACGTGAAAATATTTGTTTTACTCGAAAGATACCTGAAGGAATCTTTCTGGGGTGAGCGCCCCCGCGGCCCGGCCCCAGACCAGGCCTCATGGTGGATCAACGTCTAATCAGCCAGGCTGTTACTGCTGGACGCATTCAGTCCAGCGTCGAGCCACAGCCTTGTTGGTCAGGAACCAATTTGAGGAACTCGTCAAGTTCCCTCTTAAAGACAGCTTGCCTTCCAAGGGGTACAGTTTAAAGGAATTTATTAGTGGATTTGTAAGATGAAACAGAGGCGAAATAATTTGTGGATGGGTACACGATCTGTGATGTTCTCATTGCCTTCAAATTTGAACCACTGCTTACTACTACATGGAGGAAAGTTTGCATTAGTACGCTGTGTATGTACTACTTTTATGTAAGTAATTGTCTGGTTTTGCTTCAGTGATAGTTCGAGAATGCCCTCTTAAGCGGCATTATTGTTTTAGACTGTGTAAGCGCAAATTGGTAAATTTGTTTAGCGCATAAGATGTGTATTGCTTTTGTGTACAGTGAGGTACAGGGAAGAGGGGGCTACTCTTGAGGGATGGCGCAGTGAGCGAAACATCTTAGTTGAGTGTTTCACACGACTCACGTCCCCAGTAACCTTCAGTGTAACACACCTCCTTCATACCTCCCCCCCCCCCTTCCCTTACAATTTCCTTCTTCCCCGGGCTAATTACTCCACCCTTTCCCTTTCGGTGTTCTTTGGGTCAAACATTAATTAGGAGAGCAGCATGTGGAGGGTAGGAGAGTAAACATCCTGTAGGTAATGACAGCCAGGCTACCTGCTGGCACACTGCTGGAGACCCCAGGGAAGGGGAAGGCAGGGGGGGAAGTGTGTGGAAGGGGATGTAGTAGGGTGGAAGAGGATGTGGTAGAGGGCGGGAGAAGGAAAACCCTGTAAACCCGTGAAAGATGTATACCGTCCTCAGTCACTAGTCTGCTCTGCACACACATTGCTGTGATACCTCCCCCCCCCCTCCATGCCATGTCGTGGTTGTACGTCTATTACGGTTACCTGTACGTCCCTCTAATAGATTCCAGGGGTCACCGCCCCCTCGGAGTTATGCCAGACCAGGCCTCCTAGTTGATCTGATGAACCAGGCGGTTGTTACTAGCTTCAAACATTACCATGTAGGCACCACAGCCTGGTTGATCAGGAACTAAAGTTGGATTAACCAACTTTACTCAAATGCTTCATGAACTGGTGTTTTCCCAATTAATTTTAAATATATTTTAAATAAGAATATTGTATTGCGCCTTGGTCATTACCGTTTGTGAAATGTATGGTTGTAGATGAATGTTTCCGAGCCGACAGTTGATAAATTGATGGACTGATTACATAGACTTCAGGCTGAGGGACTGATTACCTCGCACGCCTTCTGATCTTCAACCATTCTTCTGTATTTCACTGATGAAGCCACTGTGACGAAACGTTTCCACAATAAAGATACCCAAGTGTTGCACATGTCTAATTTATCAAATGTGTAGTTCATTTAAGTAGACAACAAGTTCGTCTAGAAGCAGACATGGGGACCCACAGTCTCGGAGGTCAATAAGAAGACTTCAAGGGACAATACTGAGGTTTCTCCTTGAGGCTGTTTCAGTATTCTGCCTCTCCTCCACTTCATCTTTTGTACAGAAAGAAATTATTATGCAAAATGGTACACAAGTTTGCGGAATACACTCAAGAGTGCATTCATTTAATATATTTTAAATCTATCAAGCTAGGGACTACACACTCACTTCTACTGGCAGATGCTAATTCTAGACTACAAGTCATAAACTAGACAAGAACATGGAGAGAGAGTAACTGGTTAGTGTGCTTTCCCGAGGCAACTCGACATTACACAGGTACTGTGCTTTCACATGGCTACAGCCACTAAGGTATCGTATCGTTCTTTGCAGACGATACCAAAATATGAACTCATAGCCGTAGAAGGCAGAAAAATTAGATAATAGCAAAATTTTCAATGGGCAAATGAAAACTAGATGCTGTTTACTGGTGGCAAACTTTAACTGGTTAGATACGGGAAGAATGAAGATCTCAAAATTAGCAGTTTATAGAACATAGGCAGAATAATGCCGGATGATCTTTCACTTAGAGAATACAATAAGTCAAATGGAACAACGGCCAGGAAAATGACAGGGTGGACTGAGAACTTTCAAAACAAGAAAAGCAGCAACAATGATGGCACTTGTCTAATCAGTTGTGCAATCATTACTCTGATATTGCTATGTCCTCACAACTATCGTTAAGACAGAGTTAGTAGATGAAAATTAGACACATGCAACATCTGGGTATCTTTAAGATGCTGCATGTGTGTGTAATTTTCATCTTGTCGGTATTGTATACCATTCATATACAGAGCTAGCAGAGTTGGAAAATGTACAGAGGTCGTTTACTGCCCACATAAAATCAATAAAAACCTCTAAACTATTATGAACACCTCCAAGCACTTAGTGTTCTCTCTGGAATGGATAAAAGATATCTGATACCATATACGTTCGATAATATGTACGTACATGTAAGATAGTGGAGGGCCTGGTTCCAAATCTACAAACTGTTCAGCCACTTGCTGGAATATCCCTGGTATCGTGAGCACAAATGAAGAACAGTGAACATCCGTGGGCCGAGACTTGCCGTGTTATCAGCAGCAGACTCCACAAATATCTATTAGGACGAAGGTGATTTTCAAGAGGAAACTGAACCTCTGTCTCGTGCAAGTGTCATCTGCCGGGATTTGTAGGCCTGTGATCGGGCAGCGGCAAGAGCGTGGCCTCAGGCCGGGTATCAAGGGTAGAAAAACCCTGGAAACAGGTCACAGGTATCATTATATTAATGGTAGATTGGTATAAAATTTGGTATTAGATGCCGACAGATTGGTTTAGAAAGACACGTGAGTAAACACTAGGACATATTTATTAGAAAACGTTTCGGTCCTGGAATTTGATCACTTCTGACACACACAGCTTAAAAAGGCAGTATATATAGGCGGAGAGTGAGGTGTGAGTGACAGTGACCCTAAGAATGCCATATTGGGATGGGGACGGACAGGTAAACAATGAGATAATATGATACCATTGTCTGCCTGTCCGCAGGACCGAAACGTATTCTAAAAATGTCCTAGTATTTGCTCACGTGTAACTTTCTAAACCAATGTATGTAGACTATAATACCTTCGAGTAGATGAACAAGTTAAGAGCCACGTAAGTTCCCCCGTCTTCTAATATGGTCATTTTACCACTATAATCTACCTTGTACATAATTAAGTATCGCATTTGCTTTAAGATTTGTTAAGTTATACCATGAATTAAGGAAAGATCCTAGATTTCACCTTACAAACAAAGCAAATGCAATAGGAATTATGGACAAGTTAGATTATAGTGGAAAATGAATATGTTAGAAGACGAGGGAACTTACATGCCTCTTAAGTGCGAAAATTCTCGTCTCGTGTTCAGTCGACAAAGAGAGGCAACAGAGGTATGTAGTGCTTTCACGAGGTAACACAACACTACAGGAATAAATTTACTAGAACAGGCCAGCTGAAAATTAACTCTGAATATATTTTATAGCTGAAGGTCTTGGGGATCATCGCCCCCGCGTACAGGATGACTTGTTTGGTAAAGAAATATTAGAAGAGTTCCTACCTGCAGCCTTTCTGAGTGTTCCGAGGATCAACGCCCTCCCAGCCCGGTCCCAGATTAGACCTCTCGCTAAATGACGTGATCAACCAGGCTGTTGCTGTCTTGGTCCCTTCACACTGAGTTGTCCCTTAGTGTACTCATTACACCCCTGCGTATTATTTGTTGGCAGGAGAGGTGCGGAAGTCATAGGTCGTGTAACATTTGTTCAATGTTGAAGTAGGTCGTGCCCAAGAATTAGGCAAGCGAAGAATTCCCAAGTATTAAGATCCCAAGAAGTTGCAGTGTCTGACAGGTTTGTAGATGAATGGTTCAGAGAACCGACATGTTGATAAATTAGACACGTGTGCAACTCTTGGGTATCTTTATTGAGGAAACGTTTCGCCACACAGTGGCTTCATCAGTCCATACAAAGGAGAATCTTGAAGAACAGGAGGAGAATGAGGTAATCAGTCCTCAACCTTGAGTCGATGTGTCAGTCCATCAATCTTGAATAGAATACGGCATACGTGCTGAGAAGGAGCTTATAAACCGTTGGCAGGAGAGGTGCAGAAGTCATAGGTCGTGTAACATTTGTTCAATGTTGAAGTAGGTCGTGCCCAAGAATTAGGCAAGCGAAGAATTCCCAAGTATTAAGATCCCAAGAAGTTGCAGTGTCTGACAGGTTTGTAGATGAATGGTTCAGAGAACCGACATGTTGATAAATTAGACACGTGTGCAACTCTTGGGTATCTTTATTGAGGAAACGTTTCGCCACACAGTGGCTTCATCAGTCCATACAAAGGAGAATCTTGAAGAACAGGAGGAGAATGAGGTAATCAGTCCCTCAACCTTGAGTCGATGTGGTCAGTCCATCAATCTTGAATAGAATACGGCATACGTGCTGAGAAGGAGCTTATAAACCGTTGGCAGGAGAGGTGCGGAAGTCATAGGTCGTGTAACATTTGTTCAATGTTGAAGTAGGTCGTGCCCAAGAATTAGGCAAGCGAAGAATTCCCAAGTATTAAGATCCCAAGAAGTTGCAGTGTCAATAAAGATACCCAAGAGTTGCACACGTGTCTAATTTATCAACATGTCGGTTCTCTGAACCATTCATCTACAAACCTGTCAGACACTGCAACTTCTTGGGATCTTAATACTTGGGAATTCTTCGCTTGCCTAATTCTTGGGCACGACCTACTTCAACATTGAACAAATGTTACACGACCTATGACTTCCGCACCTCTCCTGCCAACGGTTTATAAGCTCCTTCTCAGCACGTATGCCGTATTCTATTCAAGATTGATGGACTGACCACATCGACTCAAGGTTGAGGGACTGATTACCT